GAGGGTTGCGATCCGTTGCCAGACACGAAAAAAGACAAAAAGGAAAAAAAAAAAAAAAAGTTATGTATGTGGCTACAAACGTGAGAACAACACGGAAAAAGAAACAGTTTGATACATTAGAATAATCAGATTATGGATTGTTTTTGTTCCAAAAAATAATTTTTGTTATTGTTATAAATAATATTATTATTACAAATAATAAACATTGAGAAAATGTTTCAAAAATTTATGTCCATAAAAAGCTTTGCATGAAATGACATGTCGAATGGAAAAAGTAATATGCAGCACTCAAATTGTTATCTTATTTGTTGTCTTCAGACAGAGAAAAATTAAGCAGAATCCCAACTGTACATTGCCACATCAGGGTATAGCAAATCCATATGTCCTCAGAAATTAGAAAACCAGATTAAGCAATCAGATATAAGAAATTACCAAGCTTAAAGGAACACCAAATGTAACTCATATTAGTAGTTATGACTGATAAGTTTTATTACAATGCACATTTAAAATCATTATGAAATATTTTTTAAAAGCTTTGTGTATGATTGTTACCTCTGAAGGTCTTATTATATGCCGTTTGCCTCTTGGAGCTTCAAAAAAAAGTTGTTCTTTGGCACCTGAATTAACTTGCAACAATTTTCCTGTTACGACAGAATGAAGTAGAGAGGCAATTAAACTCTGCCTTTATCTTTTTATTATAAAATAAGTAGGGCTGCCACTATTTTGATTCATTTTAATCAAATTCTCATCAATTGAATAAATATACATTGAATTATTCAGAAGGGCACAGAAGGGCAATTACATGGCATGGTACAAATTCCAAAGCTATGATTTTCAGAATATAGACCTCATAAAATTTGACCTTGAACATCTTTCAAATAACAAAGAATCAAGCTTGATATGTTTTCCTGTTGCACTGAAAATAGCTGTAGTTTTCCAAAGCCTGACAAAATAAATTTTTTGCTCTTTTTCTCTGTTGTCTTCTAGCACACAGATTAAGTAAAAGCAAATTGCTTTGGCAAGAATTATGGCATTAGAGGTGAGATTCTCGTTGTGAGCATTTGAGTTTATTTAGGTCTAAATTCTAAATTTGCCTTTAAAGTTTAGAAACACAAAACAAACTATAAATGCTCATTCTCTCCCCATCCCATCTTATTTGAAAATTTGAAAAGAAGTCCAAGACTTTCTCCAAACAAAAATGTTGAGCAAAAATAGCATTTCAGTTTGATGTAAAATTATAATCTTGGATTCATTTTGATTGGTGTTGAAAAAGATTAGAGTTCCTAAATTCTCCTTCTACAACATCAACAATCACTTGTGGCTTGAAATTTAAACGACTCAAAGTAACACATTCTAGAATTTTTCAGCATTTTAAAAATTATGGATAATTTCAAACATATATAGAAGCAAGAATGGTATAAAGACCCCATGTGCCCATGGTCCAGCTCCAGCAGTTACTAACACATGGCCAGTCCTGTTTCATGTACCCTTGCTCATTCCTGCAACCCAGATTATTTTGAAGCAAATCTCAGACACTATAATATTCATCTATAAATAATTCAGTGTATCTATATATAATAACATTTCTCCCCTGTCTTCTGCCCCCCTTTGTTCCATTAACTACATACATCTAGTGATCTTGAAGTGTCCTTCATGGAAAAATAACACCAAAACAAGAACTTAGTCGTTTGTATCATGTTCTTTAAAGTTTGGGTGGGCACCGCCTAGGTCTGAACCCTAGCTTGGCTAACCTTATGTAGTTGCAGGCCTACTTCTTCTTTTTTTTTTTTCCTTTTTGTCTTTTTTCGTGTCCGGCAACGGATCGCAACCCTCAGTGTCACGCCCGTACCGGACCGGGACCGGCAACAGGATCGCAACCCTCAGTGTTGCGGCCGCACCTCGCTCAGCCAGTGAGCGGGAACCGGTCTGTATGTGGGATCCGAACCCTCGGCGGGAGCGCCGCCGCACTCCCAAGCGGCGCACTGTAGCAGTGCGCCACTGGGCCGGCCTGCAGGCCTACTTCTAAGTGACTAAATAAAAAGTTTCTTTTATTTCTTGACTGACAACCTTAATCATTTCTAAGTTGTAGAGTTATAACATGATGATAGAAGGTTTTGCCTTCACTCTGAGGATCAGCACATCTGAAAATGTGTCTTTTGAAATGGACACATTTGCCTGACTTTATGGCTGAATGTACACAAATGAGAAAAGGAAAAAGGGAGTTAAATTAGCTTTGGCTATTTAGCATTATATGAGAATGAGTAATAAATACTTTTCCAATGAACTAAATATTTCTGCAAAGTAATTACATTTTTAGGATTCTCAAGAGTGAAAATAACACATGGAAAAAGGATTTAAAAATTTGGTAAAAATTCTTTGAATGTAGCTAATTTTAGATAATTTTTGGCCATGAGATATTAACAGAACTCAGAGAATTGTAATTCTCAGGTAATCTCAACTCACTTTACACCATAGTTTCAAAGATCATACTTAGCTCAAAAAAAACCCCCAAATTATTAAAATGCTCAGTGAGGTACTTTATGATAGCAAGAATATTAGAGAACTAAACATATAGATAAGCACCAGAAGTGCCATGCAGTGTTGTAGACACCTTGTGGAGTACCTACCTAGCCCATGCCCCTTCCCTGAGATGCGCTCCACCACCACTGAGGGCCAGGACCCTGAGGTCATGTTCATGCTCTGGAGGCAGACACTGACCCCAGAAAAGCCAGGCCCAGACTGGGCTGGGCAATCAAATTCCTTGTCCTGGGATATTGGAATCTGGGAAGCTGAATGAGTGGGTGTCTATCTAGGATGAGATGTGGACTTAGAGACTGAAGGTGGCATTTTGGGCAACCAAGACTGGACCAAGTGAAAATGAAAATGTGCTTGTGCAGACAGAGTGGCCAAGGGCAGATTCAGGACCCAGAAGAGCAGTTGATGTTGAGACCAGCTGTCCCAGAGCAGGAGAGAAGGGAGAAAGAACTGTGGCTTGGTTTCTGAGCATTTTCCAGTTCATTCCTCGTGTTGCTTCCTGCTCTTGGATTCTATGAGATATCCTTATATCTTTCCAATAAATTCATCCTTTATTATTTTAAAATTTAAGCTGGTTGGAGTGGGTTTCTGTTCCTTGCAAGCAAGGATGTGAAGGAAAGAAACCGACAAAAGCTATTCTTGGTGAGGAAAGTATAATTATGGGTGTGTGTGTGTGTGTGTGTGTGTGTGTTTCCACCAAATTTTCTTTACTGCTATTATTACATTTTTTTTTAAAGCATAGAGGAAATATTTAGGTCACCACTTTTTTCCCCCTCTGCTTGCTGCTCTGTATATATATAACCACTGAGATATTCTGAGGATAAGAAACAGAAGCGAAGGGCAAAAAGTCTGTATAATCCATATATGAGTATAATTGCCCCTGAATATTAGTAGCCCTGTTCTTTCAGAATCCTCACCTTTTTATTCACTAGAAATGTCTGCTCACACAGAATAAGAGAATTGAAAGAGATACTGTCCTCATTACTAAGAAGGTACCGTATAGTAAATAACACATCTTTTAGGTATATAGAGCTATGTACTCCACAAAGTGATCTACATACATCATCCCAGTTGCTATGTAATTTACAAGTTAGAATAAATTCCAAAATTGGGACTAAATGTAGCAAGTATATCAGGTCATTTGCAATGAAAATGGGAATGAAATGTCCTGTTGTGACACAGACTATTAATTGTTAAAAGATCTTATAGTCCTGATGTTTCTAGAAATGAACTTACAGCATCTAGAAAATATCCTTCCATGTTTTCTCACTCTCTGTATATTTTGTTCTTTTTCAAGCATTCCACACAGGAGCTTTTATTCGGGGAGAGCTGATGTTCTTGCAAAAGCCCAATGTGCTTTTCAGTTTTCCTAGGACCTGCGGTTGCCATGGGCACACGAGGCTGCTGAGGCTGGCGGCTGTTTCATTCCCCACCCTGGCAAGCCAGCTGGTTCTGGCAAATGCTTTTGCTATTTCTGACAGGATCAAAGGATCTCTGCTTCTAAATTCCACTCTCTACCCTCGCCAGACCCTCGAGGCCCCCACTGTAAAAAGCTAGGCTGTGCTTGAGGCAGCATGGCACATTCTTGAGATCAGGCATTTTGGAACTGGGATATCAGGAGCACAAGAATATCAGGATGACACGTCTCATGGCTAATGGAACTGGAATTAAACTGGGAAGATTCATGGGCACAACTGCTATTGTTCTCCAGATGGTGTAATTCCTCCCTAGAACCCTAAAGTATTCTGTTCTACTCTCAAACCACAGAAATCATTTGGTCCGACCCCCTCATCTGGCTGCAGGGGCCCTGAGGGTGAGAGGCGAGGTGACCACCTCCTTCTTACTCCCAGTGCCCTTTCCATCGTCCTGAGCTTGAGGAGGAGAGCCTTGGGCAGAATTATGGAAATAGAATTCCATCTCTAGGTATATAGCCCCCCAAAATTGAAAGAAGTGTCTGGAATAGATATTTGTATATCCATGTTCATAGCAGCATTATTTACATAGCTAAACTGTGGAAGCAACCCAGATGTCCATTGACACATGAATGGATAAGCAAAATGTGGTATACACATACAATGGAAAATTATTCAGCCATAAAAAGGTAGGGAGTTCTGACACCTACTACAACATGGATGAACCTTGAGGACATTATGCTAGGTGAAATAAGCTGGTTACAAAAAGACAAATGCTATGTGACTCCACTTATATGAGGGACCTGGAGTAGTCAAATTAATAGAGACAGAAAGTAGAATGGTGGTTGCCAGGGGCTCGGGGAATGGGGAGTTACTGTTTAATGAGTACAGAATTTCAATTTTACAAGATGAAAAGAATTCTGGAGACAGATGTCAGTGATGGCTGCACAGCAATGTGAATGTACTCAATACCATTGAACTGCCTATTTAAAAGTGGTTAAGGTAGTAAATTTTATGTTATGTGTATTTTACCACTACTAAAAATAATTTTTTAAAAATCCTCCCAATCAAAACTCACTCTTCATATATCCCATTTTCTCTGGGCCCTTCACTCACTAATATAAGTAATAATGGGTTTTAATCCCCTAATAGTCATCGTGAAATCACTGGGATTTCACATATTGTATCGGGTGGTGCGTGCGTGTGCGCGCGCGTGCGTGCGTGTGTGTATTCTAAATAAGACTCACCATACCCTATTCTACCTAGTGAGAGAATAAATAGAGGAAATCACTTTTGTTTTAAACAACACAGCAGAGAATAGGAAAGAAGGGGCTTGAGAAGCAGCTGCTTCTATCTTCTCGGCCTCACCAAGTCTTAGATGACTCTCAGGCAGTCAGTGTCCTGCCTTGTCACAAATGCTAGTGACACCCTTGGCACCATGTCGGCCAGCACTACCCTGACATGAAAGTGAAAGGGACTTATCTGATCTCCCTTTGCCCTTGTTGGGACTTGTGCCTCTTTTACAATAAATTGCATGATTTCCCCACCCTTCAATCTATTGCACTGTATAAAACCTCTGCAGGTGGTAAAGCTGAAATCAAGTCCAAATTACAGTTCAGTAAGTACAGTTACAACTAAATACCTGCCTGGCAGAACTGCAGCCAAGCCCCAGTCTATGGCTACTACTTCAAGAAATACTTGAAATAAAATGTTCTAGCATATCTGAAATAACCTCTTTCTGGTTGAGGACCTCATCATCTCTTCCTCCTGGTTGATACTAGCTGCTTTTCAACTCCAAGATGGTAGAGAACTTCCCCTCTAAATCCCTTGGGATGAACTAGTGCTGACAGATAAAGTGCACTGTTAAACTTCCCAGCATGAGTCAAAGCTCCTTTACACTCTGTCCAGTTTGCCCCCATGTTCCCGTCCCTTTGCACACCATCACTCAGCATTACTCACTATTTCTTAAACATCTCTGTCCCTCCCACCTCTACATCTTCTCATACCATGTTCCTTTTGCCTGGAATGGTCTGCCCTGACTTTGATATCTGGCAAATTTCTGCTCATTTTTCAAGATCCATTCCAAAAGCCACTCTTTCTATAGACTCTCCTGGGAGCTCTCTCCTCGGGGCACACAATGGGCTTGGCGATTCTCCACCACAGCGGGCAATAACTTCTTTGAAAGCGGGGCCCTACCCATTCTTAAGTGCCTGCTCTAGACTCTGCAAATCAGCCAAGTCTCTGTGATAGGATTTAAAAGCGACACACCCCACAGCACTGATGTATGTAATGCTCACCATTGCCCCTGTAATTCACCAGTTTTCATTCCAGTGCCTTGCCCAGTTTGTGCTCTTGTATCACTTAAGCACAAGTATGTTTCCCTCACTGAATATACACTCTGCAGAGAGGAGGAATCATGTCTTACTCACTTCTAGATCCTCCATATTTTCTGGCTTAAGACTCTGCACATGGCAGAAGATAGATCTATTGAATAAATAGTTAAATCCTCATGGCATTGGTGCATGTGACTTGGAGGAGGTAGGGGTTAGTTTGGGAGTTTTGGAAAGCAGAGAAACTTTAGGCAAGCTAAATGTAGCTTTCTGCCTCTGCTGAAGGATGAAAATTGCTTGACACTTTTTGGGCAGTTCTCTAGGAGGTAGAACTTTGGTCGGAAGAAGGAAAGCATTAAGGAGGAGCAGACCCAAGGAAGCACATAGCATGCCCAACCAGAAAGTGAGGTGGTGGCTTGCTATGTAACAGAAGGCATCATGTATTGTCAACTGTCTTAAAACTTCGTGGCTTGAATTAATAATGATGATGATAATAATAACAAAAAGATGGAAAAATACTCCAAATGTTAACAGCAGTTGCTTCTGGGTTGTAAAATTATAGCCATTTATATTGTTATGAGTCCCTCTCTAAAACTCAACTACCATTCTCCCTGGAAACGATACATGAATGGACATTGATTTTTTTCAAAACGGAAGTTACATTTTAAAAGCCACATACTTTACCTCTAGAGTCCCAGTCAATATGTGTAATATAACTAGAAGCACCTTTACAGATGCCAACCCTTTTGCTTGTAAGTACGTTGTAAATATCCACAAAGTTATCATGGGATGCCACGGCAAGGTATTTTCCTGTATCTGTAAAGAAAAATGTGCAGTTAACACCAAAACATTTTATATGGGAATTTGCTTCCAGGAACTTAGTATTTTAAAGTAGGGAAATGGCCGATGAAATATTTAAAGTGGTTCATTCTCATAATTTTTTTTTGTCCCAAGACTGGGGTATTTTAAAAATATCTGCTGTCATCTTCACCTTTTGAAAATTTAATATCAGAGATCATTTCTTTTCTGTGATGAAAGGAGACCATATCTTCAACAGTGTCAGCATTTACGACCAGGAAACTGCCATCATTCAAGCCAACTGCTAAGGCTTTCCCATCAGGGGAAAAGGCACAACATCTACCACCTACAAAAGAATCCACAGAGAACACTGCTATTATCCAGCATATTACTGTCAAAGCAAACCAAACGAAGAGATGGAGGATTAGGCGTGTGTGCATTATGCCTAAACATGTGATTGTGTCTTTAAATTAACACCACACTTGGGAGAACTAAAACTTCATAACTGAAAACATCTCTTCTCCCCAAATCCAAGGACAATGATCATAATGTCAAAAATACATTTTCAATTTCTGTGAGGTTTATCCATTCATTTCTTAGTATCTGAATACCTAGGGTTTTCAAAAGACAAGTGGGGTTGAGTGGGGGAAAGGAATAGAGGATTAATATAAACAGTATCTTTGCTTCTAAGAAAAGAGGTAATACTTAAAAATGGGAGTCCTGTAATAAAATTTCTAGAAATCACTGTTTCGATATCATGCCTCACTTACAAGCTTGCTTTAAAGAAACTTGTTCTACTTTTAGTCACTTGAGTCCCCTAATCCATGGATCATAATGTGTAATTCTAGAAGTGAAAGATTTCATTCCTGCCTCTTCTGTCATGGGAAGAATAAAATATGTGGCAACATTCTCTCAAGGGGTTTCTATAAAACTAATCTATACTAGCATGATGGTGCTGCATGAGCAATGTTTTCTACTTCTTTGTAGGGGCACTGGAAGACATTTCTGAAGGAGGAATATAGACTTTCTGAGGGCATGTTTAACAGGAAGCCTATTTAAGCATATACCCACCGCTTTACCACCATTCTTACAGTGAAGACTTTGGTAAGCACAGCCCCAGGGATGGAACAGTCATGCCTTGCGCTAAGGCATTTCAAACTGAGCTTCTGTATAAAAGACTCTGTCACTGTTCATGATATGCTGAAAACTATGTTCATACCAACAACTTTAGATTGGTTCATCTAAATTATCTTCATTCATTCACTCACTTAGCATTTATTTTTCTACTGTGAGTCAGACATGGTGCTAGTACTGAGAGGATAAAAAGAGGAGCCTGCCCTTGGGGAGAGTCATCAAGATTAGGTTAACCATAATTTATTATACAAACCAGGACAATTCTGAGAGTGAAAAGGAGAGCTATCAATAATTATGCCAGGACAACAGGGGTCAACTGGGTCGAATGGTCATCTTTATCTGAGATGTGTCAATAGTTGTTCTTTTGAATTAATTTTTAACATAGGGAATAAAGTCCATTCACTGACATTTAAGTTCTCCACAATGAGGACCTGGTCTATCATTTCTCCAATATAAATTAGTGGCCAAAATGATTCTTGTAGTGGTTAAGAGCATGGGCTTTGGACTCAGACTTGGTTGGAACCTTGGCTTCAGCAATTATCAGGAGCACAGTACAAAGAGAGGCAACGTGGCAGGGGTGACAGTGTCAAGCATTGGCCACAGGTGTGTGCTCTCTGGAGCCACACTGCTTGGGTTTGAATTCAGTTCCATTACTTCCTAGCTGTGTAACTTCAGGAAAAACTCTTTAAGTTCCCTGTGCCTCAGTTTCCTAACCTGTAAGTGGTAATAATAACGGGCTTAGTCAGTGGGTTCCTTTGAAGACTAAATGTGAAATGCCAGCACAGTCTCTGGCTTGGTGATTCTGTTACTACTGTCTAGACACCTTTTTTCATTTTATTCCCCTAGAATTCACTCCCCATGTCTCTCTGCTTATAAAACTACTCAGTGCAAATATTTCAGAGACAGACCCAATCTCATGCTTTCCTGTCTTGAGAACATTCATAGAGCCGTTCAAACCCAGCTCTCATGTCACCTCCCTAATGAGGTGGCCTCAGGCAGTAGGTCTCCTCTGCGCCTCCATGGCATCTTGCTTGTGCCAGATATCTTCAGTTTAGTCCTTCTACACCTGCCATTCACCCTTCTCCCACCCCACTCCATGCCTGAAGCTAGCCTGTGTGGACTACAGCCATGGGCTCCCTTGCCTTCTGGTTTCTGGTTGGGTTTGGCCAAGGGGGAGCATGGGCAGGAGACTGGAGGGACAGAGAAATGGAGGAAGGACAGGGAGGTTAGGGTATTTATTCCTAGCTACCTCCTGCAGAGTCATGGCATGCTGGCTGAGTCTCTGGGCTGATGGTCACAACTCCTTTCAGGCTATTCTCACACAGCCCTCACTTGGAAGGTTGCAGCAATCACTCCCTCCTCTTGCCCTTCAGGCCCAGGGCTGGTAATAGAACTTGCTCTTACTAGCTGCATAGCTCTCACTATCCCTGCTCATTTCCTTACACCCTCCCTACCCCTTTATAAATAGTCCCATTTTTAGACTCCCCTCAAATTACCCCATTTGAATGGATCATCTGTTGCTGGGACTCTGTTCAAATCTTGTCTATCTCTGACACTAGAGATGAGATCATTCATCTTGGGATCCCCAGTGCCTGACACATAGAAGCGACTCAATAAATGTTTGCTGAATTTATACTTCTTGGTATTTTTCTTAGTTCTAGTGCATATAGGTATTCAATACATATTTACTCATTTCTTGATATTAAGTACTATTTTTCTACAAAACTGACCTTTGTTTTTCAGTAATAAACTAAGTTCTGAAGACTATTAGTCATATAAATAAATAGCATTCTTTACGAGCTGCATGTTTCAACTGATTCACACAGCTCTCAATGGGAAGAGGAAGGACATATTGCCCCCAGGTGGCAAATGTCTGTGCAGTGCAAGGAAAATGAAGTGAATGATAGAGCTGGGCACCACTGGATCAGGCCAGCCTTCTGGAATAATTCTACATGTGCTTAGTTATGACTGTAGCGACAAACACTGAGTTCCCGTAGCCTAGCATATTTGGGGGGGCATATAGCAGGTGCTCTCACTAGATATTAGTTGAATGAATGAATGAGTCCAACACACTCTGTTGCTTGTAAACACTTTTGCAGATGTGCAAGGTGGTGTTATGTACCTTTTTTGAGTTTCCGTACTGCCAGCATGCGGTGCTGGGAGGATAATTCCCAGATCCGAAGCGTTTTATCATCGCTCACTGTTGCACAGATGGGCAGGAGCGGGTGAGCTGCCAACCCCCACACTTCTCCTTCCATGTGCCCCTGCGGGAGAAGAAACAGGACAATGTCAACTCAGCTCATGCTTTTTGGCTAGCCCGTCTGCAGCCTGTGCTGCATGGTTAGCCTGCAAGTACCTCAAAATGGTTCAAATATGAATAAACACAGTTTGAGCTTCCATGAACTAAAATGATTACACTGAATACTTTCTTCCCTTGAACTTGAATCTAAAGCTGGGCCTACATGATGCTAAATTATTCATTTAGAAAGCAAGATATGGATTCACTGCTTATTGGTTTTGTTTATATGATGCTAAACACCTTCCCATTTGGAAACATCCAGGTGAATAGTGAAATGCCCTCATTTTATCTTATAGTTTGATACTGAAGAAACACAGTATATATCTGCCTCCTAATAAAACAGCTTGACCACAATGACACAAACCATTTCCTTTAATAAAATCATTTCTAAAAGATGTAGGTACCACCTGTCTTTGTCAGTGGAGTTGGACAGCAATATTCTTGTTATTCATGCAATTTTAGTCTTTTGGATATGTAGCATTTGGCAGAACAAAAATAAGGAGAGACAATTTTTCATTTCAAGTGTCCTGGGTATAGCTCAGGTTCAGCATTTGCTCACAAATTGGTCTATCTATGTCTATCAACAATAAATATTAGAAAATGAAAGTGCTTAATATGCACTGGACCAATTCTGCATACCTATATCTTATCACGAACACACTTGACTGGCTTAGGAGAATAACTGAGATAAAACAACATTTTGAAAAATGAACACTGAACAGGGAAAAAATGAATTTGAGTCCTATAATTTATCACTCAACAAAGCAGTGTAAAGAGATTAGTGCTACAGAGCAATAAAACCAACCAGACCAGATTGTTTACCAAATTTCTGTTTTCAGCAGCTAATTATAAAGAGGCTTTCATTAGTAAAGCAAAAAGCAAGACCATACACAGGCATCTGAAAGGTGTTTGTGGCTGGAATGCTTTGGGGAACAGGTGGCTTTCCAAAGAGAAATTGGATGATTAATTTCACTGGGAAGGGAATTTGGCAGGAAATGTAAAGTTCCAAATACAGTTGACATTCAAATATCTGAGACGATGAGGGTTTAAAGGGTGTAGACATTGTTATTGAATTATTGGATTTAGTGGCACCTTTTATCCCCAGTTTTCTATTTTTCTTCTCTTCAGAAGCTTCCCACCCCCACAGCCATGGTCAAGGATGGGTCAGGTGACAACGCCTGACATACTCTCTCAGGCTGGCTCTGCTTAAAGCTCTTCTTTTGTACGTTTTACTTGAGAGCAGGGTTGTGGGGCTCTGAGATCCTTTCAAACCACTGCCTCATACTGATTGCAAAATTATATTTTGTTAATCTGCCATGATTATTTTATTTGGGGTTTTTTTTTTTGGTTTTATTGGTGGGTGGATGGTATGGGGATATGAACCCTTGACCTTGGTGTTATAACACCATGCTCTAACCAACTGAGCTAACCGGCCATCCCTAACATGATTATTTTATTTCGTGTAAAACACAGCAATGGACTGTGAGCAAGACAGGCTGGAAGCACCCGAGTGGCCCAAGGAAACGGCTTAGGATCTTACTTTTTCTACTGATTACCCATGAAGCTGATCATAAACAGCTGCACAAATGAGACATGATTATATTCAAAGTACATACAATGAGAAGTTTCATAACTTGCCATAGCCACTTCCCTCCCCCAACTTAGCTTTCTCTCTTTTAAAAAATAAGCAATCTATTCCAACCGTGATTGGATTATCAAGCCACTGAAACTGGAAAAGTGGTTCTGAAGTCTTCCCACCGCAGGATAAGTTGATGGTCTCAGTCACGCTGCCTCTGCTGTTCCTTAACTTTCCCCTCAGTGTCTTTCCTCTCTCAGAACAGGACTCTGAGGCCCGAGAGAGCAGGAAATCCTAATTCCATTGTGGACACCACACAGTACAGGGAAGACCTTGGCAGGAGCCCAACCAACACTAACTGAACCCAACTACTGAGTTCTATCTAGGAGGAAACAACAAATGAGAGTAGGACACAGAAGAGGACAGGAAAAGAATGGTGCACATGTAAGGTGAGAAGACAGAGGTGACTGACATCTGGTCTGAAGGTTCTGCACTGCTTGCCTGCAGTATCCAGGATAGGAGAACTGTGGGGAAGGGCCGGGGGTAGTGAAAAGAAAGGGCTCTGGTATCTGACAAACGTTGGTTTGAATCCCAGCTCTGCAGTTCTTAGCATGTGGCCATGGGCAATTTACTAGGCTTTGGGTCCCTCATCTATAAAACAATTTCAACTGAGCAAATCTGTTGTGAAGGTGAGAGATAAATTTTATACAAGAGTATTGCCTGATACATAGTAGGTGCTCAATAAAATGGTAGCTGTGGTTATTTTATTAGAGAAACAGAAACAAATATAAGAAAGAAAAGAATTGTAAAGAAACAAAAATAAAAGCTTTTATTGTCAAGTTTAAAGTACATTTAAACAAAATTACCTCAATTATAACATAACAACTTTTTGAAATTAGAAAACTTAGAGTTTAAATCTTACAGCATTGTTTAAATCATAGTATAAATCTTCCAAAGTATTTATCAATATAGCAAATATGCAAACAATTTAAGCTCTCAAATATTTGAGGATTAAAAAGAAGTAAACACTTACTTTTTAATAAAATTAAAAGAAGCTATGGCCAGAAAGAAAAAGAAATTAGTTTGGAAGGAAACAACAAAAGAGAAAACAGCTGGAGAACAAAGTTACACATCAAGCATCTCCAGCTCAGTTTTCCATCCGGGCTGCCTGGACCAATCAGCCATAGAACTTTGGAGGTTTGTTTTTAATACAAATCAAAAAACAAACAAACAAAAAATCACAGATTCTCTTTCAGGATATCCAGTGTGGGGCTTGGGAACATGCATTTTTAAAGCTTCCCTTGAAGCATTCTGAGCCATGGTGTGTGTGCAGGCCTGTTCCCAGGATGCAACAATTCAGAGGGACCCTCTCAGTGGGACTCTGGAGTTCAGTCCAGACACAGCAAGCCTGCAGATGTGAATCAGCTCAGGGGAAGAAGGCAAAGCTCCTCCACTAGACCCACAGAAGGCCCAAAGCTCCTATCATCAGCATGTCTTCTTTTTGCTCCAACTTCTGAACACATACCCTTCACCCTCAGCACGCCCCTTCCACCATAAATAAGGCCTATCCCTCACCAAACTGGGCAGGACTCCCTATTCCCTCCACATCCTACCATTCCCCTCCATGTGAGGCTGTATCATTTTTTTACTCTTTGAAGATTTGGATATCATTTATTTCAATACCATTTTACCTAATAAGGATTCTTCAAGTGAGAGGGAGGGTAAGGAAAATGTAACGTGTTTATGGGAATCAAGGCTGAGAGCAGAGTGAGGTGCACAATCTGAAGAGGCACTCGTACACTTGGTGCGTGGGCGCAGATAACTTGTCTCATTTGTCTTATGATTGACAGATCGGAGAGGGAGGGTAAGGAAAATGTAACGTGTTTATGGGAATCAAGGCTGAGAGCAGAGTGAGGCGCACAATCTGAAGAGGCACTCGTACGCTTGGTGCGTGGGCGCAGATAACTTGTCTCATTTGTCTTATGATTGACAGATCGAGAGAAAACACCTAAGGAGCCTCATCCACAGCTAGACCTGATTTTGATGGTAAGACTCTGGACTTTGAGCAGATCCAGTAATGGGATAAGGTTTTTAGGGGCCTTGGGAGGGGGGTCAAGAATTTTATATGTAGTAGGGACATAAATAATGGTGGCCAGAGAGTGGACTGTGATGGACAGGCTCTCTGTGATGGACATGATCCTCCTGGCTACACACTCTTGAGTAATCACCTCCCTTTGAGTATGGTATGACCTCTGGCTTGTTTCTAACCAATAGAATATGACAAAGGTGATGGAGTGTTCGTGATGACATGCATGTCATGGTATGATTATCTTACATAAGATCATGGTGTCTATTTCTTTCATAAGATCGTGGTGTCTATTTCTTTCTCCTTCTCACTGGCTTTGAGGAAGCAAGCAGCCCTGTTGGGGAACCCCATGTGGTAAGGAGCTGTGGGCAGCCTCTAGGAGCTGAGGGTGGCCTCTAGCCAACAGCCAGTGAGAAACAAAGGCCTCAGTCACACAACCACAGGGAACAGAATTTTGCCAACATCCTGAGTGAGCTTGGAAGCAGATCCTTCCTCAGCTGAGCCTCAGGTGAGATCATACCCTGGCCTTTATTGCAACCTTGAGAAACCCTAACAGGAGGTACCCAGTTAAGCTGTGCTCAGGCTCCTGACCTGCAGAAACTATGAGATAATACATGTGTGTTGCTGTGCTAAGTTTGTGACAATGTGTTGCTTAGCAATAGGTAACTAATACGGCTGGCACAACCCCAAAGTGAGAACCTCTTTAAGTTTCTGAACCCTAAGCAAGACCTTGCCTCGCCCCAGTCCCAGCCCTGATGTGAACTGTGGATTAGAATATGGGCCGGCCCGGTGGCGCACTGCTACAGTGTGCCGCTTGGGAAGCGCGGTGGCGCTCCCGCCGAGGGTTCAGATCCCACGTGCAGACCGGCAGCTCACTGGCTGAGCGAGGAGCGGGGGCAACACCGAGGGTTGCGATCCCGTTGCCGGTCCCGGTCCAGTACGGGCGCAACACTGAGGGTTGCGATCCGTTGCCGGTCACGAAAAAAAAAAAAAAAAAGAATATGTACAAACACAGTACCTGAACAAGCAGCGTCATTGGGCCACTCTTATCGATTTCCAGAATCTCTCCATTTTTTGTTCCCACCAGGATATGCCCATGTCCCAAAGTGATGGCACGAATTGAAGGGTTATCTTCCAAAAGCAAGCCTGGGGTGGGAAAATGTTGTATTTAATAGAACAAAAACAACAAAAAAGAGTGATGATTAGTATAAATTTGATTTTTATAGTTCCAAAGAATTAGGTACTAGAAAATCATCCCTGACATTTCTATCAGGGGCTGAGAGCTCTGAATGTAGAAGAGAGATGAGTGATGTGGTAATGGTTTTCCAAGAGCTTCCGTACTATCATATCCATCCCTATGAACAGAAAGATTTCTATTGCATATTTGGGAGTGCACCTTTTGAGCTCGTTGACAACGCTGCTCTTTTGATGGCATAAGTCTTCAAGCATCTTTCAAACATATCATCCCAGAGCTCCACAATTCCATCCTTTCCACCTGTTACAAAGCCCTGTGAAGGCACACATGGCAAGTATTATATACACATCAAAATGACCAATTATCCACTTGACCCCAACAGGATTCCCCCTTGGGTAAAGCAGCTTTGTGTATGTTTAATTCCTAAACATACAAGATGGAAAAATCTGGTGATAGCATTCTCTGTATAACATTTTCTGAAATCATCTCTCCCCCACTTCTCTAGGAGGATTAAGCACGTCCTTGTTGTATGTCCACTGCACTTGCCTCAGACCATGGGTCGGCACCTTACACATTGGATCGTGGATGGCTAGGTCTGTGCCCAGTCCCCCAACTATGGGACGGGACTAGCCTCAAAACCCAGCAGAGTTTCTGGTGTCTCATATACTCCTACCAAATGTACTGGAATTAATATCACAATTAAAAATGATTGTCAAATATTTAAAAATTAAATGATTACTTCCAGGAGAAAACATCATGATTTATTATTGAGTAACTTAAGTACTTCATATAATAAAACTATCCTGATATTTTGTTCAGTAAACATCAATTTCCACAATAACTAAAATCCAGATTAATTTTCACAAAAGCTGGAAAGTAAAAAGCTTAAAATATTGGATATTTTTTTCTACTGAACAATTATCTTTATTCTTGTTCTAAGCTTATGATTTCTTGGTTTTACCAGTTTTCATTTCTGGCAATTTATCATGTATACCAACTGTTCTCACTAGAGTTTTTTTCTTTTTTTAAGAAAATACTGAGTAATTCATTGTTTTCTCAGAAACTCTTAATTTAATGCATTTCAAGAAAAGCTCACAAGGAAATAATGTTTTGAAATTTATTACATTAAATATCCTTATTCTTACAAAATTTAGACCAGGGTGATTCAATCCCCAAATTAAATTTAAATGCAGTATATTATATTGTGATATCCTTGTCTTCCCCCACGCTATTGCAGCCTAACTTACCAAACAACATAAGAGCTTGAACAAGTTATACCCCATCAACTTCTCATTAAATTTAAATGCAGTATATTATATTGTGATATCCTTGTCTTCCCCCACGCTATTGCAGCTTAACTTACCAAACAACAAAAGAGCTTGAACAAGTTATACCCCATCAACTTCTCGGCCTACAGAAATTCTGCATTTTGCTCTAATCTTTTCTAACATTTGTGGTTTAATCAAAAACAAATTTGCCAGTAAAAAAAAAAAAAAGATTAACCACCAAAACAACCATTATAATTATACATCTGATAAAAACCTACTTTTGTAGTGGGAACAACACATTTTCCTGGGGACAGGTAAATGAAAGACAACGCTTAGTTTAGGTAGGTGTGTTGGGTGGCTTAGACTGGAGGTCAGAGAGCACAGATGAACTGGTACCACCAGCAAACTGGAAGTGAATGGAGAAGTTGGTATTTGCTGGCACGTTGCTTGAAGAAAGTGTTTTAATAGCACTGAAGATAAGTGTAATCTTTGTAAAGGAACACTGCAAGGCAGATGGACAGACAGGACAGAGATAAGCTGAGTGGAAACATGGCTGCTGAAGAGACTTCACTCTGACACTCTTGTTAAAGCTGAACCTGTCTATGCAGGAGCAAACTGGTTATGAACATAACTTTAGGTCAAAACAAATCCATGTGTGGGACAGTAACTAAGCACTTGGTACTTTCAGGTGTCTGCTCTTTTGTCACCGAGGAGGAAGACAATGCTGCAATACATCTTAGGACTCCTCTGCTGCTGAGTATCCATATTTATCCCAACACTTCTTAAGGGACTCTTAGGAGCGAGAGCCAGGAATAGTAAGTATGAAAAAAGAGGAGAGAAAGTGCATGGAAACAATGATACATGAAAGAAATTATGAAAATGTTTGTGCTCCCCTCTCTGTCTTCCCTTGAGCTTCGCAACACCTGCTTCCTAATTCAGGCAGAACTGCTTTTAGATACAGGCACCCTCTTGGTGGGTCTTCTCGAGACTACTTGATAATTTCAGAAAGCTGATGAGGAAAATGAATTCTGTAAAACATACCATACCTTATCCAATGCATACATAGCAAACACAGGCCCATCATGAGCTTTCACTGTCTTTAGTAGTAGGATATCTTTCCATATAAAAATATCTCCAGTAGCTGCTCCTGAAAACACCAGATCTTCCATTCGCCCATAAGAAACACACATCATTGTTTCCAATTTTCCGACACTTCCAAAAATTCCTCTCTTAGAGGTGAAGCCCCCACCTGGAGTGGACCAAAATTATCTATTACTCTTTTAAAAAATTAATACCTCTTATGAGCATGTAGAATGATCTTCAATAAAAAACCTGGTGTGTCTACATTATTTGTATACATAAAAATTGCAGAGAACATTATACACAAAAATATTATAAGAGTGTTTCTCATTTGCTCATTCATTAATTCAGTGTTTATTGAATCCCTACTCTGTGGCAGGCACAATGCTCAAGGCTGGGGATAGAAAGATGAAAAGAAAGAGTTCTGCCTTCAAGGAACTTAGGGTCTGGCTGGAGAGAGAACTCAATGTGTATCTCAGTCCAAGACATGCATCTAACCAAGGCTCAGGGCAAGTCTGTGCCAGCCAGAGGAAGGAATACCTGAGTGTGCGAGGGAGTGAGGGAAGTCTTCATGAACATGCACCAAACGGAACAAAAACAGTACCAACTATAAATGGAAAATTTAAATATGTTCTACATGCTCTGTCTCAATTTTTATCACTGTGATTTTGGGTGATAATGAATTGTTTAGGAGAAGGTAGTGTACTGAGACAAACCATCAGATTTGTCCCTTGTATATTCAGATTTCCCAGCACCCCTACCACTGAGAAACCCAGCCTCATTTAAGGTAACTATGCACAGGCTGGCTCTCCAGACACACCGGGTGCCATTATACTTTCTTTCAAAGCAGAAAGCACTGGAACAGTAGCTTATTCACGTTTTGTGCATTCTAAGATTGGGCTTGGTAGCAAAGCTGATACTAAGAATTCAGAAACAATTGCAATAACAGGTCTTGCATATTACTGAGAAGAATAAGACATTCTTACATGTTTTATATTATTCTATATTGCTAATTATAATGTTTTATATTGCTTATTTACTCATTATTATTACCGACATTATAATCCACAAATATTTCTTTTGACCACTTACTATATGTGGAGTTAGGGTTTAATTCATGTGCTAAATTCTGTGACAGATTAATAAGGGAAGTCTCAAAATATTGAAAATTTTATTTACCCAACCAAAGTGATTATTTTATTTCCTGCTCAGTAGTCCAACATATTTACTGCTTTTAGAAAGCTTTCTAGATATTGATGAATATGCATAGAAATAGCATCATATAAAGTGGTCTAAGTTTCAAAGCTTCGACATTAAGCAGCCTAAAGTTAATCTGGGAGATAATTTTTTTAGGCTCATTTTTATATTTAGATTGCAGAGACAAGCCAGGTAATGGCAATGGTTTTTTGTTTTTCTCTAGCTGGGGTAAAGCTCTCAACCACACAAATAATAAACCCAAACCACAGTACCTGCTTGTTGCCAAAATTTGATGTGCTTCATCCCAACTGTAACCAATTTGTCAACATGGTGTGGGTTACACTTTACCACAAATATCTTATCTTTATGTCCTCTGTAAGAGACAAATAGGAAAAACAATTTTAGTTTGGATGGAAGCACTGATACAGACTTTTATTAAAAGCATGCATTTGGTCTTTCATTAAGCACATCTAACAGGACAACTGAATTAGATGATGATTTAAAATACACACAGGAGTCTACATTAAAATAATGAGCTGTGGCATTTCTTTGCACGTTTGAGCCCTCTCTTCTTAGTATTGCTACCAAAGTCTACTTACCTATGCTTTAAACAAATTAAAAAATAGTTTAAATATATCAAATGTCTCCATAAGGTAAAATTAATGCCACCACCATACAACTGCAAGTAATTCTGGGAACACAGAGCTCTCATTGCAGGAGGAGGAAGAAGATATCACAATTGTATTAAAGAGATGCTTCAACTGCACCACCTTTGTTGTGGAAAGCATCACTTCAGGTTAAACAGATTTTCCGCTAAAAATGTATTCCCTAGAAACTGAGCCATAGAGAGAGAAAGGATGTCATCTACTGATTCAAGGCATTTGAAGATGCTTAAAGAGATGCTTCAACTGCACCACCTTTGTTGTGGAAAGCATCACTTCAGGTTAAACAGATCTTCCGCTAAAAATGTATTCCCTAGAAACTGAGCCATAGAGAGAGAAAGGATGTCATCTACTGATTCAAGGCATTTGAAGATGCTGCACATTTAGAAAGGTAGATTTATAACCCAAGGGGCAGAAGCACAAATATAAAAGTAAGGACTAATTGTAGACTGGGCTGTAGACCTGGCATCCCACAGTGTCAGAGAAATTTCTACTTTAGAGTACAGTCTCATCACGCTGGAATCTAAGGGTTTCCTGGTCTTAGTGGACTGTCTGATGATCTTCTCCGGTATATTAGGACATAATTTCCATTATGTAAAAAAAAAGCAATTAATAAAAAGAACACAACTGATCAATCTTTCTTATGAAGATAGATATAAAAATCTTAAATAAAATCTTAACAAATAGAATCCAAAAGCACATTAAAAATAATACACTATGACCAAATGCAAGGGTGGTTCAATATTAAGGAATCAAATAAAATAATTTATCATCCTAAGAGCTGTAACGAGAAGAATCATATTATCGTTTTCATAGATGCTGAAAAGGTATCTGACAAAAACCTAACACTCATTCATGATTTAAAAAAATAATTAACACTCAATAAAGTAGGAATTAAAGGATGCTTCAGACTTGTCCCTTAGACATTTATATGTCCCTGCACTCCCTGTCATTGAAAAACGCAGATTTATTCAAGACAACTGTACAAAGTCTGGCTCTCCAGAAGTGTGCCATTATCCTTGCTTTAAAAATAGAACATGCTGGTACGGTAGCTTATTCATGATTGGTATGTGATGTGTGTCTGTGTGTCTGTGTGTGTGCCTGTAAACTCAAAAGTCAGATTCTTACTTATGGCATTCCCAATGGAGTTGGGAATAAGACTATTACTGCTACCACTTATAATTGTATTGACTGTATTAACCAATATAATTAGACATGATTAAAAAAATTAAAGGCAGAAGAGCTGGAATGGAAAAGGTAAAACTATTTCTATAGTATATCTAGATAATTCAAAAGAAAATAATGTAAAAATTACTACAAACAAGATAATTTAGTAAAGTTGCAGTATACAAAATTAAATAGAAATCAATAACTTTTATATATATGATAATCAGTTGAAAATACAATGGAAGAGAGGACTCTATGAACAATAAAAATATTAAGGCATAAACTTAACAAGAAATGTGCAATATATGTAAATGAGGAGAGGAAAAAACCTAACAACTATAAGATAGAAAAGCAGACAAAAAAAAAAAAAAAAAAAAAAAAAAGGAAAAGAAACCATATCCCATGATCTTGGATGGGAAAGCTCAACCCTAAAGAATTGATATTGTATTAGTTTATAAATTCAACTTTTATTCCAGTAAAAAAGATCCCTGGGTGTTTGTTTAATCTGGAGTTAGACACCTCAATTTTAAAGTTCTTATGGAAGAATAAGCCAGTAGAAATGTCCAGGAAAACTCTAAAAAAGAGCAAACTGGAGAGTAGCTCTCCTAGATATTAAAACAGTTTATAAAGTCTTCGTAATTAAAGTTTAGTATCTGTTCATGAATTGACTGACAAACCAATGGCAAGACAGAAAATCTAGAAAGAGACCCAAGTGAATATAAAAATGTAGTTTATAATAAAGACATGGCCTCAAATAAGTGGGGAAAAGATGACTTTTAAAATAATTGGTGCTTGACACTAAATTCTGGCTAGGCTGTGGAGTGACAGGAACTCCCGTTAATTGCTGGTGGGAATGCAAAATGGTACAGCTACTTTGCAAGATAGTTTGGCAACTTCTTACAAAAACTAAACATACTCTTAACAATACAACCCAGCAATTGCCTTCCTTGGTATTTACCCAAATGAGATGAAAACTTAGGTCCACACAAAAACCTGCATACAGATGTTTATAGCAGCTTTATTGATAATTGTCAGAACTCAGAAACAACCTAGATGTCCTTCAGCAGGTGAATGGATAAATAAACTCTGGTACATCCAGACAATGGAATACTATTCAGTGTAAAAAGGAATAAACTATCTAGCCATGAAAAGACATGGAGGAAACTTAAATTACATTACTAAATAGAAGAAGCCAATGTGAAAAGGCTATGTACTGTATGATTGCAACCATATGACATTCTGTAAAGGGCAGCACCTTGGTAGCCATATGGAAAAAGTATAAAGTTGGACTTGTTCCTCATAATAGATACTAGGAAAATTCTAAACAGTTTAGAGATCTAAATGTAAAAGATGAAGCCATAGAAGATTAGAAGAAATTATAGGTGATTTCCTTTTAACCTGTGATTGAGCGATATTTTTCTATGACTCAAAATCCTAAAGTAGTAAAAGAAAAGACTGATAAATTTTACCAGATAAAAGTAAAAACTGGGGTGGGGATAAAAAAATAAAAAGTAAATAAATAAAAAATAAAAACTTTCTGCATGATGAAAAACACCATAGCACACTCAAAGGTTGAATGACAAATTGGGAAAAATATCCACAAACTATTAACAAAGGACAAATAACCCTAACATTTAAAGAATGAACGTCCTGTGTGAATTGTACTTTAGAGAAAATGAATGGTTCATGAGGGAAAATTCTTACTTATAGGAAAATTCTAGCTAATATGTAGAATGAATGATAGAATTAGAAAATTACCATTTTCAACCCCCAATTAAATCAACTTAGCTCACAGTTGTCAATGGATAATTGGATAATATGTTGATGGGACACTGTAGAATAAAAGATCAGGCTGATACTACAGGAACCCACAAATCTAGCTGAGTATTAATAAAAAAGCAGACATTTTGGACAGTGGTATACCCCAGGGGTGGTGCTAGGGAAGCAATCCACCCTGGTGAGGAGGAATTCCATTACTGACATTGTTTAGGATTGCTGCTAATGGGAATAATAAAAGGAAGACTGGCTTTTAGTTGGGTTTATTACTATTTTTAAGTTCTCTACAGGTAATACACCTCTATTGCTTGCACCTGGGAAGTACCATTACCCCCCTCCCTAGTCTCCCATTGCCCCTCACCCTCTGTTATGCCACTGGTTACATCTGTTCTGATATGATGCAACATCAAGAACGTATATGCTATTTTCACCAAAAAGTTGAACCTGGGAGAAAATATTTGCAAATCATATATCTCATAAGGAACTTGCATTCAGAATATATGAAATTTTCTTAAAACTCAACAATAAAAAGACAAATAACCCTATTAAAAATGGGCAATGCATCTAAATAGACATTTCTACAAAGAAAATGTACACATGGCCTGTAAGCACATTAAAAGGTGCTCAACATCATTAGCCATTAGGGAAAGGAAAATCAAAACCATAATGAGATACCACTTCACATGCACTAGAATGGCTATAATGAAAAAGTCACAGAGTAACAAGTGTTGGTGAGGATGTAGAGAAATTGGAGCCCTCATACACTGCTAGTGGGAATGGAAAATTGTTCACTTTGAAAAACATTTTGTCAGTGTCTCAAAATGTTAAACATAGTTATCACATGATCCAGCAATTCCACTCCTAGAGAAGTGAAACACATATTCACTGAAAACCTTGCACATGAATATTTATAGCAACATTATTCATAATAGCCAGAAAGTGGAAACAACCCAAATATCCACTGACTGATTAATGGGCTAATAAAATGTGGTATATCCACACAATGAAATATTATTCAGCAATAAAAAATAATAAAGTACCAATACATGCTATGACATGAATGAACCTTAAAAAATTATGCTAAGTGAAAGAAGCCAGTTGTAGAGGACTTCATATTGTGTAATTCCATTTGAATAAGATGTCCAGAATAAGCAAATCCACAGAGACAGAAGGCAGGTTAGTGCTAACAGGTATGGGGTTTCCTGTGGGAGTGATGAAAATGTTCTGGAATAAGATAGTGGTGATGATTGTACAACTCTGGAAATACACTAAAAGCCACTGTACGGTACAATTTAAATTGGCAATTTGTATGGCATGTAAATTACTTACCAATATACTATTTTAAAAAATTAAACATGAATCTAATCAAGCCTATGGATCTATCATTTACAGGAAACGCATGGGAATGCCTGAAATTATTTCATGAAGAATCAGTCAAGTCCAGAATGTGAAACATTCTAAGATCAAATGAGCTAGTTCCTCAATGCATCCATGGTATCAAAGAGGAATTGCATGAAATAAAAGAGGCATAAGAGATATAACAACAAAAAACAATGTATGGGCCTTGTTTGGATGCTGATTTGGACAAACCAAATATCGTCCTTGAAACACTCAGAAATGTTTGATTATGAATTGGATAATAGATAAAAAAAGAAATTACTGTTGCTTGTCACTTAGTTGTGATATTAGCATGGTGGTTTTAAAAACATATGCCTTTTCAGTTAGAAATGCGTAAGGAGGGGGGCCGGCCCGGTGGCGCACTGGATAGTGCGCCGCTTGGGAAGTGCGGTTGTGATATTAGCATGGTGGTTTTAAAAACATATGCCTTTTCAGTTAGAAATGCGTAAGGAGGTACATAGAGGTCAAACAACATGATGTCTTGAATTTTCTTTAAAATATTTTTGAAAAAAACAAAAGTAAAAGAAAAAATGATGGGGGAGAGATTCGCACAATTTTTAGGATGCTGGTAATTGTTGCAGATGGACGACGGGTACAAGGGGCTTCATTATGCTATTTCTTTCACTTTTGTGTAACTTTGAAAATTTCCATAATAAAAAGTTAAAAGAACAGAGCATCTCCAGACCCATTACGACTACAAGAATGCAGGCCCCACAGTGAAAGGCAGGGAAAGAAGATGGAATTGATTTTTGAGCTTCCCCTCTCTTTTTGAAAGTCAAAAGTGAACATGGATGCAAGAGCAGTAATACATCACTAGACCTATCGGAACAACGAAGACAGAGAGAAAAAGGTTTAGATAAAATAAAAGAGAAAACAATTTTAACACCCAGAGGAGATAACTATAAAGACATTAAGCATCCAAACATTTCTTGATTGGAAAAGAAGGAAAGAATAATAAGCTGAAGTTGGAGGAGGAGAGAGTAGAACTGTCATTACTAGAGGTGGAAAAGGGGAGATGCGAGGGGGGATAGAGAGACGTTGGTTAATGAATACAAAACAGCTAGATAGGAAACATAAGTTCTGTAGTTATACAATTGAGCTAGGCGTCTACAATTAACAATAATTTACAGCATGTTATCAAATGGCTAGAAGAGAGGAAAGCAAATGTCCTCCTCATAAGTAAATGATTAAGTTTTGTAATGATGAATATGCTAATTACCCTGATTTGATCATCACACATTGTATACATGTATTGATATTCAACTGTACCCCACAAATATGTATAATCAATACGTTTCAAAAAAAAAGATTTCTTGATTGGAGAAAATCCCCACAGATTTAAATCATTAATATATAGTTGAGAAGAGGCTAGAGAAAACCGAAATAAAATTAAGAACAGATGAAACGAATTGTATTTCCTAGAGAGAAAAGAAGATTGCTTTGTTTGCTTGTATCTATACAATGTCAAACAATTAGAAAAATCTTTTTTTGAGAGAACTTTTTTGTTTTCATCAGATTTCTCATTGGCATAAATGAGCCAGTTGCTTCTATTGTGGCTAAAGCTCTAAAATGGCTCATGATGGCATGTAAATGTTTAGCTAATGTCAACATCTAAATAAAGAACACTGATTGGATACCTCTGTTATTTTTCCTTTAGGCATGCGTGCATGTGTGAGAAACAAGATGCAAAGAGTTTCAGGTCTTAGACTGAGAGAATAAGAATGTAGAAGCCCTGTACTGCTGCTCTAATGCTGGATGACCCCTCATGCCCGAATCCCAAGCAATTCACCATGCAGGACCACACCAACCCAATCAGCAAACACAGGCCGAGAGGCAGGAATGAGTCTCTGCTGGAAGCCAAGGGCAGCTGTGTCTGGGGTGACTCAGTTTCCAGGTCCTTCAGTTGGAACCCTTTCATTTGCATAGAGGCCCAGTCCTGAAGTGATTTTGTTTTCCCTCTCTTTGTGAAGGTAGCATAACTAAATGGATGCTTGATTTACATACCAGCCACCCCAAAAGATTTAAAATCGCTTACAGTATAGTATAATAATGTAGAAGAAACCAGGTAACACAAAATAGAAGACAATGAGATAAATACACTGGTAAGTGAAAAAATAGCCAATTACAGAGTAGTATGTACAATATCCCATATATGAATTAAAATGCTGGAAGAATATATATTTTAAAAATATGATAAAATATTAACCATAAGGTGAAGGGTTAGTATCCCCAAACTGGCCAGCCACAAAAAAAAAAGAAAAGAAAAGAAAAAAGTAAACCATGGGTATGTCTGGGTAGTGGAATTACAGATGATTTTCATTTTCTTCTTGGAGCTTTTCTGTACTTTCTAATATTTCTATAATCCTGTATTATTTTGAAAACAGAGAAAATAATAAATGTTATCTTTAAAAAGAAATATACATTTTTAAAAAAGAAAGTGAGAAAGAAAAGTTGCCAATATGGTGTGCAGGAGGCTCTATCATACTCTCTAAGGGTATGAGAGGGTAGGGACCTAAAGTACGTCAAGCAATTTCTCTGAAGTTCTACATACCCGCCATACAAGGGCCTATCCTTTGTCCCTAAGCTTTCTAGTAGCAAAACTATTTCAGATTAACACTGGAAGTACTCTTGTTAGGCACTTTGATAATTGGACTTTTTGCAAAGATCCCTTCTGTTCAAACTTCTGAGATGAAGCATGTCAACAATAGTTGGTCATTGTCCCTCACTGTCGTAGACCAATCATCCTGCCAGAAGCAGGTTTGTTGTTCAGCCTTGCTAGAGGCAATGCTGGAAATGATTGAGACACAGAAGTACAGAAGTGCAAAAGGAGGGGTGTCACTGGGTCAGCCATTCTCTGAGACTGAATTAGGCCCTCTAAGGAGCTAAGATAACTCCAGGAAGCCAGGAAGATACCACGAAGTAAAGTATTACTTCTTTTTCTTTGTCACTCCTTTCATGCCTCTGTTTTTAAAGTTCCTATCTACTTAAGCACTCTAACTTAAGGCCATAAACAGAATTTTTATTTATTTGGCTTGTTGCTTATTTATGCATTTATATAACTATTGATTATTGTTAATATTATGCTAATAGATGTGACGTAAATATTTTTATTTATTTATTTTAAAATCTAGTATTCTTCTAAAGAACTTTAATAATCCTTGACATTCCTCCTTGGAAAGAGCACTGGTTAATGTCACAATTGCAGAAATGTTCTCTGAGGGGAATTCTGCAGGTGTCCTGTTTTGGAAATGTGTCATAAGGCTTGGGGCAATCCAAATATAAATTGTGTTATCAACATAATGGTGTTGTCACTTTGTGTTAATTAAATCAAATAGAAGTAACACTATCCATCAAGCATATTAAAATATATACTTTTTAGATATTAAGAAATATTTCATTCTTCCATTTCTATTAATGCTTCAGACATTCAAGTGGGGAGCCACCCACAGCTGCAGAGGGTTTTCCAGCAAGAAAATTGCATTTCCGTCATTTTGAAATGCAGACATGTGCTTTCTCTGAAATTACCTATAAATGCATATAATGTTATTAGAAACATTAAACTAAAATTCAGTATTTTATTCTAGGAGGCAAACAGAGTTTTGATTGGGAGCAAAATCTGAGTACTAGAGTGGAGTGGCACAACACTGAGGAATATTAGAGAGAAAGACTAAAAGAAAAGCCACTTGGGCGGGTAGATTTATGAGCTGCCACTTGCTTCCAAGAATCCCATATTTCAATAGTAGTCATCAGAAAAGCTTCTCTTTTCCTCCTAAGACAGTAGCAGGAATCCTCAAGCTTCCATCTGCTGCTGCTCTGAGTCTCTGAAAACGTACGCATGTTCACTCATTAAACCAAATTTCCAAAACCCTTTTTTCCTATTTAATGTTGTAGAGAAAAATATTAATTTAAGAAGTGAATATTGGGGTTTGAGGCCATTAACTTAAAAATGATTTTATATTGCAAGACAGGAAGGAGGTTAGTAATGCAGGAAGCGCTAGCAGGGAAGTACACTGACAAAAGGCCTGGGCGACAGACTGTATTGCTGGGCCGTGGCTGCCAACTGTTTTGACCTCTGACCAGGGCTGGGCAAACAGCTAAGCTCAACGTAAGTAGGAGTGGAAAATCATGTTCAGACTTAGTGCTGATTGAGCAGGGAGGGAGGCTGGGGTAAGGGAGGACAGGTGCTCTACAAACAGCCGTCAGTCTTGAAAAGTCTATTTATAAGATGGGGAGATTAGGGGAACAATTTGCCTGCTTTGAAAGCGAGTGGCAGATGCACAGGATGGGGCTTCCTGCCCAGCATGCCGCAGTGTCATGACAAATGGTGCTTCTGACTCCAGTGACATTGACGATCCTTCACAGATGCTAAGACAGAGGAAAAACAAGGAGCAAGGCACGAGTCTGAGAAAAGCTGCTTTCCTTTTGACATAGATAATGCATATACTACTAAAAGCAAAGTGATGAATAACTCTCTGGAAAGGATTTCAGAATTTTCCAATTCCCCACAACAAACATTAAATGCTCTAAGTCAGTTTCGGCACTGTGAAATATTGTACTATGTTTGCACTTAAGTGTTAAGCTTTCTATGTCAATTTCATCTGAGTTTGAAGATGAAATCTTACCAGAAAATGAGAATTATTGACCTTTACTGAAGCGTGGTGACAGCGGGATGCTGTAAGATCTCGCAGCTTCTTACCTTGTTGTTGCTATCTTTTCTCCCTTTTTCCAGTCCCAAAATACAATACTGTGAAAATCCTCTAAACCAACCGACACCAGACATTTTCCATCGGCTGTGTGAAAACAACACAAACGTCAAATAACTCATTTCTTCAATGAAAAACCAAAACATTTTATATACTGTAGAGAGGAAGAAGAAATTGACCTTAAGAATATCTTTAGACTTAAATCCATCAAAAATATCATATAAATGGACTTCACCAAATGAAATGCATGACTAGTAACAGTTGAGCTTCCTAATGCATAGTAACTGGTTGCTGAAGTAAATCACTGACCAGCATTCCAATCTGAGACACACAGCTATGCGGGAGCCTCTCAGGTGAGCCACAAAAACCTTGTCTATTTTATGACAGACAAATCTCATAAAATTTACTGAAAGAGCCATTTGGCTTTGTGACCCTGAGTCTATTTTTGGCTCCAAAAAAATGGTGTTCAGTTTAACCCTCCAAGGTAAAAACATCATAAAATCTAAATTTAACTTCAAAAATTCTTTCAAAAGATGATTTTACAATTCAAAAATGTAAATATATCATTTCCCTGTTTCAAATGTAGTATGATTATTATAGGACATCTAGAAAACATAGATAAATAAATTTTTAAATCTTTCGAATTTCCTAGGCCTTCATTTGGTATCCTACCAGTCCTTTCTCTACATAAATGGGCTTTGAAAAACAAAACCAGAATCATACTGAACAATCTATTATGTAATCTTTTTAATCTATTATATCATGAACACTTTCCCTTAGTATTAAATAGTTACAATATTAATAATTATATAATTTGGACCTTTAGGTTGTTTCCAAAAAAAAAACTTTCAAAAAGATATTGAATGTATAATTACACTTGAAATAAAAACAGTTAATTTGCTATTTCCCTTCAAGACAGAAGAGGTACAGTCAATAAGCTTTTCCTTTGCTGCCTCCTCTCGGAGCTAGATTCAAAAGAGAAGCATCTTGAGTCAGCAGTGCCCACCCCCCACCAGCTGCACCGTTGCTAGGAGACGGGTGATCAAGCTCATCCTGCATCAGTCTATCAGGGTTTCTTCTCTGGCTGTAGAGGACCAGCCATTAGGGTAAAGAAACACAAGTATGTGATGAACTGCTTCTCTCAGGTCTGCTGGTCCCCTTAGAGTCTCAACTGGTATTTTCAAAGGCAGGCCTGGAGGAGACCCAAAATTAGGGTTGCCAGGTAAAATAAAGAAAGCCTTTCTAACTGGAACTTCAGATAAGCAATGAATAATTTCTTACTATATGTCATCGTTAATATTTATACTCGTTATTACATATTTATACTTACATCATCACATGGAACACAAAATGCTAAAAAAATGATTTGTTGTTTATCTAAAATTCAAATTTAGTTGAGCCTCCTGCATTTTGTCGACTAAATCTGGAAACCTATTGTGCTAACCAATGTCCACTCTTTGAGTGCCCTTACTTATGCCAGAGACCAACTGAAATGGTGGTCTGCTCCTTCTTTTCTGGAGGAAAGAGAGTAAGAAAGGAAGAGTCTAGCTTAAACCAAATCCTCCCCAACCCTCAACCACTACTAAGTATGAGCAAGGATTTGATAGTACACAAGCCTTTTCAAGCTACTAGGCTACAGTATTAGATGAAGACATTTACACTTTCCTAAATGGCTAAATCACTACCAGATGATTACTGTAATTCAAAGGACAATTTGTTTATAACTAATGATATGCCCTTATGTTTAAATGCTACCAGGCTTTAAACTGGGCAAGGTCTCTTCTTTGCATTTAAGAGAAGGGACTGCTAATGATTTCCTATTCATTACCAACAACACTACTTTTTCCATATTTCTTGATATGACCTGGTTATGTTTCTATATTGGCATGCCTCTCTGTATTCGGTGATTTTATTTTTATTGGTGTTTTCACTCTCCCTTTTTAGACCATTAGTTTTTTGGTTTTTTGGCAGCTGGCCAGTACAGGATCAGGGATCGAACCCTGGACTTTGGTGTTATCAGCACCATGCTCTAACCAGCTAAGCTAACCGGCTAGCCCAATCATTAACTCTTTTAAAGCTTACAGTAATCATATCATGTTTCCTTTGTAATCCTCACACTGAGCTGGTTTTCAGTCAGTGGTGATACCGTTGACACTGAGGATGAGGAGAGAGAAAGATGGAATATGCCTATGGATGGTATGAAGGGATAAGGAATGTGCTATGTTATATAGCTATAACATTTTTAATTGTTTCAATTATCATTCCTTTTGAAAACGCTGCACAAATATGCAGTCTTTTTTGTATTCATTAAGTCTATATTTAGTTTTCTTTTGAAATCTGTGTAACTTTATTTTTCGTGTTTGTGTACATAACTATATTAACATGTTTCTTAGAATGCAAGTGACCATACATTTAAAAATGATAGTTTAAGTTTTATGTCTTCTGATGAAGACCTAAGGGTAAGCTTATTTTTTGTGGGGGAGAGGAGCTCTTTTTAGACTTCTGCCAGGCCCCATCAGCTTATCCTCACAGTTATACCACCTTTCTACCCCAAAAAGAGTGTACTGATTGTGGGTTATAATGGAAGAAACAATGCAAATCCAGAGGTGCTTCAACAACCATACCTCTTCTTTGGGATGGTGACCTCGTCTTGCATTTTGCAGGTGTAAGCTATTTATGCCTATACCACACAGTTTGAAAATACAATTGGATACTTTATTTTTCCCCGTGTTCATTTCCCCTGTAGAGGCTTGAAAATCCATTGTTCCCTGGCCAGTTAGTTGGAGTTTTTGATTTTCGGCTATATTTTTAGAGTCTAGGTAATGTCTTTTCAAATCTTTCCAGTCACAGTATGTATTAATGATAGATGTGACATAGTCCAGAAATAATTCTAAGGCACTTAATGTCAACAGTAAAAGGCAAATTAGAGATAAATTTTTATTCAGACAATTACAAATTTGTCCCCCTACTTAAGGCTCATAAAAAATGCATAGATTTTCCAAATTGAACATAATGAAATCAAGTTAGTCTTAGATGTATTCTTGTGGAAATCAGTATTATGCCATGAAAGCTTTAAAGAATTATGTGGACGATATTTAGGCTAGAAAATAGTCATGTGGCTGAACTTCTCTTTCTAATCTGGTTTTCTATTCATGTGGAAGCACTTTCCTTACTGCAAGTATAGACCTTTCCTTAAACAGCGAAAACTAATTCAGAGTCAAAAAGCTTCTCAATTAAGTGAGATAATATAAACTCATTCCTTCCTGTTCACATAATCCAGTTATATACCATGTTGTAAGAAATGTTTTTGATTAAAAATGTTTTTTGTTTGCTTTAGAAAAGTGGCAAAAACAAATTAATCTAAATCCCTATGTATAATTGCTTATTTGTTGCCTAGTTTTTGCATCATTTGCCTGCTTTATATTTCTAGGACAACTTATTATTCTAATAGGAGACAAATGCATTATATCAGTAGGTTTCCACGATACCCCAAAATGAGCTGATTTGTAAGAGATGGGTGGCTGTTGGGATACTGAGGCACACAGACAGGGCCACCAGCTAAATAATAACCAATGAGTGTTATGTTGGCGCTATTATATAGTTAAACAGGGATATCTGCATAGTCTCCTCCTCTCTTGGGACTTTGACTTGAGCTGCTCACTTTTCCATCAGTTTCTAAAAGGAAGGAATAGTTGCCTATGCCTTTACCAGATAAGTGTGTGACTCAAGACTGTTCCAGAATAGGGATCTGTGCCTCTATGTACCACTATGCCCCCTCCACATTTACACTGGAGGATGGGGGGGCAGCTGGTGACACTTGCTGGTGGGCTCAGAGAGTGGGGAAGTGCGCAAGCATGCCCAATGCTCCAGATATACTCTCATACCAAAAGGTCACACCAGCACTGGTGGAGTGCAGGGCCAGCAGAAGGACAGCCGTGGGCCTGGTGGCTATGGCACTGGACTGAGAGTCAGGAGACCTGGGTTCTAGTTCTGGATCTGCTGCTGTTGACATTTATCTGGGCCATACTGCCAAACTCTCTGCATCTGTGTTCTCGGCCTGTAAAGTAGTTCAGGGGTTTAAGACTAAAGTTATATTATTATAACATGAAGTACTATCAACTACCATAGTTCATCTGTATGTAACCATTCATGGTGATGAATCATACACAATAGACATCAGTGAAAGTTTTTCCTGAATAGCCCTTAAAATTAATGTTTTCTAAAACTATCAACTAGATTCCTTTCTACTATTTATGTATTAACATCATACTTAACCTGTAAGACAAAAAGGTAATTTTCCACAATCAAAAATAACACATTTGCTGAATAATTGGGCTCTTCCCCAGTGATTGTTATCTGGGAAATGAAGACTATATATTGTAAAAATTGAAATACCCTTCTTGTGCAGAAAATATTTCACATTTGGGGATTTCTTTATTTGTCCAAGATGTAAATTAGAAGCAGTGACAGAATCAGCTTCCCCACCTTTTCTAGAGTATCTGATTTCTCTACCTTAGCAATGATCTGAGGGGCTGCCTTGTGAGGAAAAGATTTCTAAGCTCACTTAATTTCCTGTTCTTTCTTCTGTAAAACTAATATGCCCAGAAGAAATGTGAGCTCTCTGAAATGTAGAGACCAAGCTACTGGGTATCAGCTTATTGCTACCAATTCATCTCATAATTAATGTCTCTGATCAACACTCTGCTAATCCCTTTCTCCAAAGGTATTTAAATAACATGAGTTAGTTATTTTAATTTAAAAACCCAAAAAAATCAATGAATTCTATAGAAGAAATAATCTAATGATTGGATTCTATTTATATTACTCTAAATGTCCTGCCACTCTATTTATATGCTAATAAGCATATACACATTTTCATTTGAAATTAGTGTAGATGCTATTTTGAGTTCTATTTTTTCTTCTACTTAACTTGATAATAGAAATGTGTATGAAATACATGTAGTCCACATACTTTTCATTTTGATTATAGCTATATTATTGCCAGATTGTTTGCCAGAATTATTGAGTCAATTTTCAATGCCACAAAAATATGAATATATTCAATTCTTCAACATCTTGTAAGCATTTAGGTTTTATTATTTTATTTTTGCTACTTTAATGGGTATCTTACTGCTCTTCTAAAGCATACTTATTAATATAATTTCAAAACTTTATGTCCAAACTTCTGGAAGTTTGGACTACTGAGCATTCAACGGGCAGGTAGTATGCTGAATAGCTCTCGCTCCTTCAATACTCAGTACTTCAATTCTCCTACCTCACATGCCTACCAGTGTAGAGTATGAACTGTTTAGCCTGGATTTTTATTAATTCAATAACCACAGAAGGTATTAAATAACTTCTAATAATGATGTAAGAACTTAGATTTGTACAGTAGTTTACAGTGTGTGAGAATGTGCATGTTACAAAAACAAAAAACTACTCCATACTGCATTGGTCATGAGATAAAGGTAATTTTCACCTAAACATGGTTTACAATGTAAAATTTTAGTAGTAATAGTAAAAGGCAAGACAAAGTGCGTTAAGCAAAACCTCATCTGTTCATTCATTCATTCACAGCATTTTTTGAGTAGCTTCTACATCCACAGCACTAGGACATGTGCAGTGGGAAACAGAGAGATGGGCTCTGCTTTCTTAAGTAGTTTACTGTATGTGAAGGGTATAGGAGATGTTGGCACAAATAACTACTGTACCACATGGACTCTGACAGGTGCCATGAAAACAATGACAACAGTGGGCTAAGGGATTCAGAAGAAGAGATAGGTTATTTATCCCTGGAAGAAAAAAGGGGAAAACTTTCAGCTTGATCTTAAAGCATAGTAGGACTTGAACAGATATATGAGACCAGCATGAGCAAAGAACACAGTCAAAAGAAGGATGGAAATACATGTAGGCTCTACAGTTAGATAGATGTAAAGGATTGTGAATGGGTTAGTGGGTGCAAATGCTGCAAAGGAAAGTTGAGGCCAGATCGTGGAAGGCCATGAATGTCCAACCAATGCCTTGGCCCTGAGTAAGCCAACCAAGGTGCGTCCACAATGGTAATTATGCTCCCGGAAGACTCCAGAAGTGGGTAGGAAGGACTGGAGAAAGTGGGGATGAAAATAGAAGCAAGCATTGCTACCATGGCACAGATGAGAGGGAGTGAGGGCTTCGACAAGGAGAGTAAGAGAGGGAGGGACATATAAGAGATTAGGGTTAAGGAATCATGGGATATAATGGCTAATATTACACATATGGCACGTATGAAACACTTGAATGGAACTTAGAAAAGGGATATTATAGAATTAGCTTTCTGTAAAGTTTAGAATTGTTTCTACTCATCTAATTTCTACAACTGAGATTATTAGAATTTTCTAGGTAAAAACATCTTTTGTGATAAGTCCTCATTATCTAATTCTTGCTTAAATAATCCTTACTCTAAAGAATGTTATATTCATCTATTAGTATTTTATAGTATTATGTCCAGATTTTAAATTAAGGAGATGAAAATTTCAGTTCTATTTTTGTGATAGGAAATTTATTTCTAAAACACCAATGTTGTAAAGAGATCCTTTGCAGAGAATTTGCAACCCTCCCTCTAGTTCTTTATATTTTAAATCAGAAGTGATGTGCTTCCACTCATTTGGAGAGATGAAATTGATGTTCTGAGTCACTGCCAGATAGTCGTTAGTAAGTCTTTCAACAGCAACAGCTGCTCTGGATTTCAAATCGCTCAAGCAGATACAGAACACAGCGTGAGCTCTGGGTAATGACTCGGGAGAGAGAGAGGAGAACAAGGAAAAGGATGTGTCATTTAAAGGCCGCATTTTTGGTCAGGTTTTCACATGTATGATTCATAGCCTAAGATTGGGTAGCTGACATACAAACAGTTTACCTCATTACAAGCAGAACTCAACTAAATTTGAGGATGTTAAAAAAAAAGTGAACTAAATACAGAACTGTCAGTGACTCTAGTGGAAAACTGGGGCTTACCTGAAAAATCGAGTGCACATACTCCTCTCTGATGTTGTCCTTTCAATAGTGACAAACATTTTAGAGTTTGTGTGTCCCACACATGAATAGCAGCATCTCTTCCAACCTTGAATAACAGGATGAATGTTATTAACTATGCATAAATGATAATAAGAATGATTTTGTTCCTTAAAGTCAAGCACTCAAAAATCAAGAAACATATTATTCGTAAATCATCTGGTCCAACTCCGTTATTTTCCAGATGAGGAAACTGAGGCATGAAGTGTCTTGGCATGTCATGAGGCTTGTCATGAAATCAAGTTGGGTTCCAGCAGGGCCTGACTGGGCACAAGACTCTCAGTGGCTTTTAAGACTGTACCTCAAACACCCTCTGTGCTTTGTTTTTTCAGTTACCTCTACCATTCCCCCTCCTGCCTTCTCAGCTCCACACAAGATTCCACTTCTCAGTCAAGGAAGTCACCTGTGTGTCATCATGGCACTATCCAGAGTTCTTTTACCCATTCTCAATTATTTTACCCAACTCAGAAAGCTTTTGCCCTGCTTCTCCCCCTGGGAAATAACAGCTTCATGCGTTAACTATTTGTCATTAAGGTGGATTGTCCTGGTGGGGATACAAGCTTCCATCACACTAATTCCCAACAACAGAGAAAATTATAACAGTAAAATGGCTTTACTCACTTATAATACATAGGGGAAAAGAGTCTATTAGATACCATGACTTTAAAAGGGAAAATGGGACATAAAGCCACAGGTGGGCATAAGTGAGCAGAATCCGGGCAACTCCTACACGGCTCTGTGGAGCCCCCCTCCCGCCGCTGCCCCCGGAGTGGCTGTGGGCATGCTATTTGCCACAGGTTTGCCTCCCACTGAATACACTATTGAGTGCAGGATCTCCTCAGGGGTATATGCAAAGAACCAATCTCTGGTTTTTACTTTCAAAAGAAGTTTACTAAATTCCCATGCTTATTAGAGAAACAAAAAAAAAAATAAGGGCAAGTGAAAGGCAAAACAATTATCAATTACTTGTAAAACTCAATAATGTCAGCTAACACAGAACAGATGGTCTCTAATTTGCAGTTGGAGGGGCAACAAACCAGTGTATAAACCAACAGCTCTTATCTTTTGGAGGATTGTAACCCTTTCACAAATAATATAAAAGCTATGGCCCCTTTTCTGCTCAAAATGTACATTTCTGAGGGTTGACTCCCTCATCCTCTCAATTTCATCCAGTGATCTCATGAACCCCAGGCTATGAATGAACCCCCTTCAAAAGCTCTACCACCTGTATGACAAGTCCCAGAAACAATCAGGATTTAGTTGTCTTGTGTTAACCTTTGACATTATACCAAGAGTTTTTACTTGGAATTTTCCACTTAGAAATGGAACATCAGTTGAAATATTACCTGATCATGATAAAACACAGCAAAAATGTAATCTACACATTTGAGAAAAAAGGTATAAAATTGAAAATGTTTTTGAAAATATTACTGTTTACCAGCAAGATAATAATACACCTGAGTTTAACAGATTCTTTGCTAAGTTGACTTTATTATTCTCCCCTCTATACCCCAGAATGACTGAATGGAGGGTTTCTGTTTTCAGTAGCTTTTCAATTACAGACTCAATCCAAGGTTTAGGAATTTCAAAAACACTGTTCAGATAAAAATTAGGGGTTTTTGCAAGGCTAAAATAAAAAATAATAAATTAGTCAAAGTTCTTATGACTTTTTTACAAAATAACTACACTCCAATTGTTACACAGTATTAAAAATAGATCATTCAATAAATATTTATCAACTACTTAGGATGTACTAAGTACTGGGTATATAGTGATGAAGAAACATACAAAGCTGTTTTTTCACAAAACTTTCATTATTTTAGTTTCAGCTAGTCCCATTCATTGATCTCACCACCTGAAGAAAAGAATCCCTCAGAGCTACCCAACAGTGCTAGAATGCGTTGGTTGGTTCTCCCAACATCATGGAATGATCTGACGGTCACTGAATCTTCAGCTTCCTACCTCATGTTTATTTCTACCTAGTATTTCTTGAATTTCTAACATGTAAACTGGATTCAAAATTAAATCCTCTGTCTCTGGCTAGGCCCCCAGTCTTAGAGGAGAGATATATACCTGCCCAGTGGCCACATAGTCCTTCACTGGATGGATGGTCAGGCTGAGAATGTCATCATCGTGCCCCAGGTACAGCCTCTGGGAGTGCTGCTGCCTGTTGTACACGACAGCAACTGCAGCAATGTGGTAGACCACTTCTCCAGCTTGTGTGTAGAACAGATTGTTTCTACAGTCGTAGCCTCTATAACTGAAGCACAGGTCCAAGAAATGCATAGCAGTTGAATAAACAGGAAATGAATGGAGCCAGAGTTATCAGAGGCAAAGCTAACATGTTGACATGAACATGTACAAGTGGAACCCCAGGTGTCTCCAGTTGCATAGAACAGCAATGTTCATATGGGGGTATGAGGACCTCTGAGGGCATGGGATGACTTTCTAAGAAGCTCATGGGCTCTGATCATTGTAATAGAATCTGTTTCCAGATCCTCAGCTACTGTATGTGCTCTTTCTTACAATCACTCAGTCTGAGAACATGCCTGTGATGAGGCGCAGCTTTTCCTTTCTCATCTCCCCCTCACAATGCCCTCCTCCCACTTTATAGTAAGTCATTCCTCTTGTCCATCTGGAATCTTACTATGGTGTATTTCCCTAGGGCATAGAACCTTGCAGGGGCACCAAAACAAAGGGACGATTCAAATTATAATTGTGGATGGCGAAAGTGAACAACTCTAATGATTAGCTAAGGAATCCTTGTGTAAGTCAAGTGATTCCCAATTCTTTGCTTTTAACAAAATTTAACAGAGATTTAATTGAAGTGTCAGCTGACAGATCACTAATTTTTGTGATATATCAGAATAAAAATGTAATTTTGGGGCCTGTAATACAGAAGGAGTTTAAATAATTGAACAGCACTACTATTGATAAAATTATTGATAAAATTGTTTCCATTCTCACCTATTTATGAAAATAAACTTTCTCAATGCTTACATCTATAAAAAAATGAAAAATGGGAATACACTCAATGCTAAACTCTGCCACAGTCTAGCAATAAGTAATACACATGCACAGATATCTGAACTAATTGAAAAAAATATATCTTGTTAAAATAATTTCCAATAAAAGTTTTCTGTGGTTAACAATTATATGTCACAATCTGTAATATATTTATGTTAATTTGATCAATTTTTACTGCTAATAGTTATAATAATTTCATCTAAAAAAATATTCACAGAGCAGCACTAACAGAAATATAATGTGAGCCACATAGGTAATTTAAAATTTTCTAGTTGAGGGCTGGCTGGTTAGCTCAGTTGGTTAAAGTGCAGTATAATAACGCCAAGGTCAAGGGTTCAGATCCCCTTACTGGCCAACTGCAAAAATAAAATTTTCTAGTTGCCACATTAAAAAAAATTTTTAAAAGATGAAATAGGGGCCGGCCTGGTGGCGCACTGCTATAGTGCGCCACTTGGGAAGCGGGGCGGGGCTCCCCCCGAGGGGACGG